ATGGCAGTGTTACTGAAATGTATTATAGACTGGTTACAATCAATTGCATTGAATATGAGCCCTAATGTACTTTAGATGTTGTTGTGGTCCTTTATCTTCAGTTCCTCAGTAAAACCAAAATGTAATCAAAACAGCAGTCCATTACCTATTAGTATAATATTTGATTGTTTCAAGTAAATCAGTAAGATTTATCATGCAGAATGTGTATATGACTGCAATCTAAATTATCTGGCAAGCATAAAATAATGTACTCACTTTACTGTATGTCAGCTGGGGGCTATTAAATAGAAACCTTTGCTCTGTGTTTAGAATTTCCCAGCTACACTACTGTATGTACCAAACACTTGCAGAAATGGCTGTTAGCAATTCCCATGATCCTGGCAACACTTCTTTTAACCATCCTTGTTGTACAGTCTACAGATAACTTGGGCCTACACCATTGCATATCCAGGGACTGTCAAACCCTGATCAAGACACAGGACCTTCAACATTTCTCCATTTCATATGTATTTCTACTTTAAGTGTTTTTGTGCTGACATTTACTTTTCAAAATATTATTATGTCTTATTTATACATCAGATGGCAACTCTTACAAATTAAAATGGCAATCTTTTGTACATGTGTATATAGAACTATACTTTCACCAACTGCGATGAGATTATATCTTGAATTAGACTTAAGCTGTAGCTAAGAATAAATTCCCCATTCTTATAAATGTGTAATGTTATTAAGCATCTAACACTGTATTATAGCAGCCTATTAAAACCAACATTTATATGGCTTTTCTAGATTTAAGGTACATACATAGATATGCTAGGAAAGAGGCTTAGAACGAGAAACAGTCTGAGATATTGGTAATTAATGTACAATTTCTTTCATTTACATTTTGTATTTGTGATCATTTTCTTCCCTGTTCACTCATGAAAATCATGGTTATCATTTTTCCCTTAGCATTGAAATCTGTCCAAATTCTGGCTGCAACTTGTTTCTTCTTATATAGGTTTTTAAAATCTTTATGGATGTTCAGGGGTACCAAGGATGATACTGCAGGTCAAAGCAAACTTCATAAATAATCCATACAGTTTAAAAATCCTTTCCAAAGTCTGTTGAAATTTAATAGGGTCAGAAGAGGTCAGAATTCTACTTCACAGGTAATTGAGTGGAGAATGAGAATTAGGTATGAAAATTCTTTTTACGAGATCATTCTGTTGGACTTTCAGATTTCTTTTTCCTTTTCTGACTTTCAGATTTTCCATTTATTTTGAAAGGCTCATTTATTGAGCCAACATTGTCTAAAAGTGGCAGCAACATAATCCTTCTTAATACAATATACTGTAACAACACAGAAGATCAATAAAGAAAAATCAAAGTTTGTCCACCTTGTTCTTTACCGTTTAAACAATTAAATCCTAACATTAGGTTTGTAAGTGTCTGAGAAAAGTAGCATATCTTCCCTTCAGCTGCAATCTCAAATTAACTATCTATTCAATGTAAATTCACAACAAACTCGTTAAAAATATGCAATTAATGTAAAACATTCAGCCTTAAAGCTCAAGAATGTATTAAAATGGTTCCTGTTTTTCACAGGTGTATTTACCTATAAAATATATTTTGTTGTTGTTGTTTAGTCGTTAAGTCGTGTCCAACTCTTTGTGATCCCGTGAACCATATTGCGCCAGGCCTTCCTGTCCTTCA